TTAAGGAGATTCTCGCGTTTGATAAAAAATAAGACAAGTCTATAATATACATGTAATGCAAAAGTTAATAATATCAATATCTAGAAAAAATTTTATTGACTTTTACCGTACCATTTTAAAGATATTTAATTCTAAATTTATAGAATTTTACATTACAAGTTGAAGATATAATCTTATTCTGTAATTATTCTCTTTTAAATTGGGACACTTGCGTGTAAGACAGCAATTTAAAAATCATTATAATCATAAAATAAACACTTAAGTTTGTTCTCGTAAAGTTTCATTTAAACTGACCGTACAGTTTACAAGAAATTTATATTTTTCAATGAAAAAAGCTAGAATATATGTCAAATGGACGATGCGTATACATCAAATGAGCATCTTACAACTTTTATTTTGTCATTTTGAAAATATTTAGTAACATATAAAATTAACAATAATGTATAATGGCATAAGATATTGTTAGTAACCTTTTTATTCCATTATTTTAATTATTTTACATATTATTGTAGATAAAAACTGTCTATTGACTAGGAAATAACGCGAAAACCTTCTTAATATAAATAAATAAAGTTTTGTGTAACTGTCCAGACATAGGTACTGTCCGATCCCAGTGACTGGACATGTACCTATGTCCAGACATAACCTATATTCATTTACATAACACTTTTATTTATTTAAGTTAATATTAGTCTCAAATACGCTTTTTAAAACGTAATATTATAATTTAATTGTAATCTTTAAATGCAATTAAATTATAATACTGTAATAAAAAAAGCATTTGAAATTAATAATAAATTTTGTGTCATCTGGACATAAGTACATGTCCATACACTGGGATGTTTACCTTACATGCGATATACTAATAATATATAACAGCTTTTAAATTGAATTTTCTTTATTTTACAGTGGTATTGGCATGACCAAAGCCGATCTTGTAAATAACCTGGGTACCATTGCCAAATCCGGTACAAAGGCATTCATGGAAGCTCTACAGGCAGGTGCTGATATCTCCATGATTGGACAGTTCGGTGTAGGTTTCTACTCGGCGTACCTCGTGGCCGATAAAGTCATCGTGATCTCCAAACACAACGACGACGAGCAATATCTGTGGGAATCTTCCGCTGGTGGTTCCTTCACGGTTCGTCCCGACAATGGTGAACCGATCGGACGAGGTACCAAGATCATCCTTCACATTAAGGAAGATCAGACTGAATATCTGGAAGAGTCAAAGATCAAAGAAATCGTCAAGAAGCACTCGCAGTTCATCGGCTATCCCATCAAGCTCGTCGTCGAGAAGGAGCGTGACAAGGAACTGAGCGAGGACGAGGAGGAAGAGGAAGAGAAAAAGGAAGAAGAAAAGTCAGAGGATGACAAACCTAAGATCGAGGATGTCGGCGAAGACGAGGAGGAGGATAAGCCCAAGGAAGAGAAGAAAAAGAAGAAGAAGACCATCAAGGAAAAATACACTGAAGATGAGGAGTTGAACAAGACGAAACCTATTTGGACAAGAAATCCGGATGACATCACGCAGGAAGAGTATGGCGAGTTCTACAAGAGCTTGACTAACGATTGGGAAGACCACTTGGCTGTGAAACACTTCTCCGTGGAAGGACAGTTGGAATTCAGAGCACTGCTGTTCATCCCGCGTCGTGCACCCTTCGACCTGTTCGAGAATAAGAAGAGAAAGAACAATATTAAATTGTACGTACGTCGCGTCTTCATCATGGACAACTGCGAAGACCTGATTCCGGAATATTTGAACTTCATCAAGGGCGTCGTAGACAGCGAGGATCTGCCTCTTAACATTTCTCGTGAGATGCTGCAACAGAATAAGATTCTGAAGGTCATTAGGAAGAATCTTGTCAAGAAGTGCTTGGAGCTCTTCGAGGAATTGTCGGAAGACAAGGAGAACTACAAGAAGTGCTACGAGCAATTCAGCAAGAATCTGAAATTGGGTATCCACGAGGATAGCCAGAACAGGAAGAAGCTCTCAGAGTTGCTCCGCTATCATACTTCCGCATCCGGCGATGAAATGTGTTCACTCAAAGATTACGTTGGTAGAATGAAGGAGAGCCAGAAGCACGTCTACTACATCACTGGCGAGAGCAGAGAGCAGGTAGCCAACAGCTCGTTCGTAGAACGTGTGAAGAAGCGTGGCTTCGAGGTCGTGTACATGACTGAGCCTATTGACGAGTACGTCGTCCAGCAACTGAAAGAATTCGATGGAAAGCAGCTGGTATCCGTTACGAAGGAGGGCTTGGAACTTCCGGAGGACGAGGACGAGAAGAAGAAGCGCGAGGAGGACAAGGCCAAGTTCGAGAGCCTCTGCAAAGTTATGAAGGATATCTTAGATAAGAAAGTGGAGAAAGTTGTAGTATCCAACAGATTGGTTGATTCTCCCTGCTGTATTGTCACATCTCAATATGGCTGGACAGCGAACATGGAGAGAATCATGAAGGCGCAAGCACTCCGTGACACATCCACCATGGGATACATGGCCGCGAAGAAGCACCTCGAGATCAATCCTGATCATCCTATCATGGAGAACTTGAGGCAAAAGGCTGAGGCGGATAAACACGATAAATCGGTGAAAGATCTAGTCATGCTGCTGTTCGAGACCGCACTTTTATCATCCGGTTTCGCACTCGAAGACCCGCAGGTGCACGCTTCCAGAATATATAGGATGATCAAGCTAGGTCTGGGCTTTGACGACGAGGACACGTCGAACGCAGAGGACGAGAAGATGGACATGGAAGTGCCCACGTTGGAGGGTGACTCAGAGGAAGCATCGAGAATGGAAGAAGTGGATTAAACTGCGAATTAAATTTACAATAAGACTTGTCGAATATAATAAATCTCGAATCCAAAGACTTTCCTAGATCCGTGAAAAGCGAGAGACTGTTTTCTTTTTTTATTTCAATGTTCGAGCGGCTCTTGTAAGTTTTCTCGTTTCAGTGTCGACAGAATTAGGTGTTCATTCACTGTGCTGATCGCTGTATCGATTTTACAGAAATCTTTATCTAGCATACGCGTCTCGCACACAATTCTATCGACAAGCTAGCTTACCGTTTGATTTCATCGAAATATTCATTCTTTTACATTTTATGTGCCGCGCTTCGTCATTCATCTCGCATTAACATTTTTTTTATACTTTGCGTGTTTTCACTTACATCATTCCATCGGATACCTTAAATTACTTGTAGAATAAAGGTATAAACATTATATGAAATAAAATAAAAGAAATCGTATTTAATCGATCTCAAAGTATTTTCACCCATATATTTCAAAATTCTATTAATCCTTGATCTCAAGAAATTATAATTTTCTATTCTCTGTAATAATCTCGGAAAGAATACTTCAAATATTTGATAAAAATTATTAAATAATTTGTAATCACTTTAATTCATTTTTGTAAAGTTATTCATCAAAGCTTTTCAAATTAATACAATTTTAAAAAATATATAAGATATATTAATCATTGCTGGTCTTCAATGTTATTTAAATTTGCATGAATTATTCCCGAAGGAAACATTAAATTTCGATACATAAATTCAGTGACGAATTTAGAATTTATTTTCTCAGCGAAAATATTAATCTTGTCGATTTAAACGATTACTATTATCCTATAACTAAATTATTACTTTCGTTAATTGAACTTAAGATAGAAATTAATAATATAGAAAGAACATTTTAAATAATTGATAAAAACAATTATAAACTATATCTTTAGTTCATCTTTTTAAAACTAAGTTATTTTCGTTAATTAAACTAATACAAATTAATGATATGATATTATGTAGAACACTTTAAATAACATTTGATAAAGTTAAGTAATTAAATTATATTTTCAATTCATTTTTTTAAACTTTATATTTTTTATATTAATGGAATATTAAAAAATCACAAGTATCCGAATATTAATCATTTATTAATATTATTTAAACTCATGTATATGAAATATTTCTGAACATAACATTAAATTTTAATAAATTTATGACGATAAATTGGAATCGATCATATTTTCTCAATGAAAACATCACACCGATTCAAAGCTATTCACATTAGGTGCATCCAGAAGCACGACCGCTCATTGAGCGCTCAGTGAGTTCTTGTACCTGTTTGGTCTATATTTTTAGCTCTAATGGAATATGCCAATCAGATGCATTGTCAGCGTGTGATAAAATGAAACGGAGACGCTCTTGGGCGAGCGAGAATCGTACAGCGAGAGGGAGCTGCTCCTACTGCGCCCAAAGGTAGCCATGGTGTAAGAAAATTTCTTACATCATGAGGTAGCCGAAACGCCGAGCGCACACGTACATACGTCGCTCGGCTTTTGTGTGCGTGGCATTGCGCGGCTCAGGGGGTCGATTGTGTAACTCGAAATGAGGTGAAAATTACAAAAGTGAGCAAATTCACTAGAATATTCATCATTTAATTGGTCAGTAACTAGTGAATTTGCTCGCTTTTGTAATTTTCACCTCATTTCAAGATACACAATCGACTCCCAGATCTGGGGACTTATTACGGTTCCTTGTGACGAAGTAAAAATTACAAAAGTGATTGAATTTACTAGAATGTTTATAATTTCATTGGTTAACATCTAGTGAATTTGATCATTTTTGTAATTTTCACTTCGTCACAAAAACCGTAATAAACTCCCTGGGGGTCAATTATGTATTTCGAAATGAGGTGAAAATTACAAAAGTGAGCAAATTCACTAGAATATTCATAATTTAATTGGTCAATAACTAGTGAATTTGCTCATTTTTGTGATTCTCACTTCATTTCAAGATACACAATCGACTCCTAGAGACACTATAATAAGAGACTATAAGTTCTAGTTGGATAGAAAATGGCGTTCACAGGATGATAAGTCATAGGACGCGTTCGCAACTAGGATGAAAAAGCAGAAAAAGTAGGAAAGCAAAAGCTAATCAGAATTCGTATCAGTTAGCACTTATGGCTCCGGCGTTAGCCAATAAGCTTACAACTCCTAACATATTCATTGGTCACCGCGTCACATTTTGCCGCGCGGCAAGCGTTTCCGCGTCCAGTGTGCAGGAGCCATTATTATAGTGTCTCTAGGTTGTAGTACTGAATGCACCCATTGTAGACGACGCATAAGAAATTGACCAATCACAGTCGATTGTAAAAAGAATAATCGACTGTGATTGATCAATTTCTTACTCTTACTTCTTAAATCAAGCTTACTACGTGTATTATAGACGGGCCCTAAAGAAAACATAGATTAAGTCGATTCTTATTTCAAGACTGTCTTAAGTAATGACTTAAGACACTAATGCGGTCCTCTGATTGATTCGTGACATCTTAAGACTGTACTTAAGACGGTCTTGAATATAAGATCTGACTATGAATACCGGCCTAAAGTACCGCAAACTCGCATCCATTTTGTCGCAAAACGCGGCCATTTCGAATTTATGCATTTGTATTACGTGCTTTAGGGCCACTGTCACCAAGCTCAGTTAACTTAATTGGCCAGTTGACCAATTGGCCACAAATACGATTGGTCAATTCCGATGGACTAACTGGCCAATTAAGTTAACTGAGCTTGGTGACAGTGGCCCTAAAGCACGTAATACAAATGCATAAATTCGAAATGGCCGCGTTTTGCGACAAAATGGATGCGAGTTTGCGGTACTTTAGGCCGGTATTCATAGTCAGATCTTATATTCAAGACCGTCTTAAGTACAGTCTTAGGGCGGTATTCATAGTCGATTCTTATATTCAAGACTGGCTG